GTGTATGTGGTAAGTGAACTTTCATGTACTGTAATGCAACAGGCTACCACTAGCAAGTTGGCCACCTTTGAAGTCTATTGGGGGCAGTCGTGGCCTAATTGTTAGAGAGTCGAACTTATAACCGGAAGGTTGCGGGTTTGAGTCTCAGGTCCGGCAGGAATTGTCGGTGGGAGGAATGAATGTACAGCGCTCTCTTCCACCCTCAATACCACGACTGAGGTGAGACCCTTGAGCAAGGCACCGAACCTCCAACTGCTCCCCGGGCGTCGCAGCAATATGGATGCCCACTGTTCTGGGTGTGTGTTCACTGTGTGCGTGTTAACTAGGGTTGGGAGATGTCTACCAAATTGGATTCGGGCAATGTCTACAGTGAAACATCGTGATGGACGATGACATCGGGGTTAGGGGGTGTGCCTGAAGCGTGAATCCGTATGCAGAAAGGCATGGAAAACAAATAACGCATTCTACGGAGCCACTAAAGGGACATGGTTAACCTCTTGCTAGCGGTAGACTATTACATTACAGTACATGAAAGTTCACTTACCACATACACAGAGTAAGGAGAGTGATAGGACAATGGCAAATTATTTGCAGATACTGAGCACCACTGACAAATATCTAATCTTGTAAACTGTGGTAGGTACTGCCACTCCGTAGTATAGAGTCTGTGTGATCGCGAAAGTGAAAGTAAAATGAGAGCGCGCATTCGAAAGCGGTTTCAATGCCCTGCATTTTAGTAGCGGCTCCCTGATGCCCGCAAATATAATTGCGAGAGAAAGTATTGAAGATTTTTTTTTATCTTCCCATCTCGTAGGCTATGTATTCCCTTTAGAGTTTCCGTAGTACACTTAATTTCCTCTCCGAATACGGAATTGGGATGCAGCGGATTGCGGGGGGTATGGGGGGTCACGATGCCGGCTCAACATCGTGATGTCTGTCAGCCATCGGCGATGGAAGATGGCATTGTCTATCGGCCCAACCCTAGTGTTCACTACTGTTTGTATGTGCACTTGGATAGGTTAAATGTAGAGCACATATTCCGAGTATGGCCCACACGTCACTTCACTTTTTATATGAAGAAAAATCCTGGATTGTTTTCCTCAAAAACCTTACTTTCTTTACAACTGAAGAAAGAAAGAAATTAACATCTTGGATGACATGGGGGTGAGTAAATTATCAGGAAATTTTTATTCTGAAAGTGAACTAATCCTTTAAGTACTCTGTCTTGGTTTTCAGGAATTAGACAGGCCGGGGTCTGTTGGTGGTAGTGACAGGTTTGTCTATGTCATGTGCATGTCTCAGCAAGTCAAGAACCATTTCAAACGCAGCCTACATTTTACTTTCATTGCAAGGGGTCCAAGATTCATACATCCACTCAGCTCTGACAGAGACATGTCACTGACCACACACAGAGCCGAGCACCCACTCATCAGGAAAACATTCTGCAATCTAGCGGAACACTGCGTTTCATTTCAAACACACAATACAGCTTCTCATTTTGCTATTATTTAACATGCTGGTAAAACTGACGGCAGACATTGTAAATAGCATCTGTGTGTTAAAAGCATGTTGATTATATCTTAATAACAGTATTATATTAAAACAGTGCAGCAAAGCCATTTAAACCTCACAGACTGTGAGAGCGACCCTCCCAACACACCCTTCATGCAAACCGTACATCAAAACTTAAATCACATTAAGTCCTCCACAAAACTGAATGATAGTTCTACCTGACACAAACATAACCATCAACAATTTCATATTACATTATAGACCTTATTCAGAGTAGATGATGTTTTAATTTTCATGAATGACAATGAGGCTGTGTCGCACAGGCCGATTAAAGGTTTGTACTTGTGTGTCAATGAAAGACAGCACAACTACGGAACTGACTGTAAATCTATACCTAACAGTTTCATATAGTGAAAAATATGACATCTACCTGACAAAAATATAAAAACCAAATGAGCTTTTTAAAACATCTGCTTAAAGTTTGACTCAAGCCTCTCACAATTACACTATGACTAAATCTGAAACCTTGTCGAGGACAAGGAAACGGTTTAAAGAACAAATATAACCAGAATTGAACTATAACAACCAATAAAACAACTGGGGGAAAAAACATCTTTAGAAGCCAAAGGTCCAAACGTTTTCTGAGATTTACTCATGGCATACTCATAAGAAGAGAGTGAACTAATAATCATCTTTTGGAGTGGCTTGATTTGTAATGTCATTATTTGTTGTGTAATATAAACCTAATTATGTATTTTTGTAAAGTGACACTGGGAGTGGACACACATTTTTTTTGAAGTGTCATGCTATAATGTTAGGTTTGCCGTCCCATCCCATTTTCACTATGGCAACCAGAGCTTCCCACCTTATGCTTTTTAAATAAATAAAATGACAATAAGACCAAAAAAAAAAAAGATTCTGAAACCTCTCTGAAAGAGATTTCAAACGCCCTTGATGCCCTTACCTTCAATGGCAATTACGTGCTCTCGGATCTGATTCTGCAGCAGTGGATCCTCCACCCGCTCCAGCAGCTCGTAGATTGAGTAGATGTTCGGATGGACGGACTCGAACCTCTGAATCTCAGCTCTGATCGCGGCTGAGTTCGCCAGGTGTTGTTGATAATTCATGTTTGCAATATGATCTCTTCCAATGGAACCCGATATGCAATTATCTAAAGAGTGTTTGCAGATGATTTCGGGATACTGATATGCTGCAAACACGTAAACACAGGAGGGAGATCAGATGTCCACATGAGGTCTGTAGTCAGCTCCAACGATTTTGTTCAAAACGAAAAACTACACATGTTCCCAAAGTTACACTGGGTATATAGGATGCAATCACAAAAACGTTAACGATTAAGCATTAAACCACTTAATGCGAGACGAACTAACATGTAGCAGCGGCTTTGATATCAGTGCATGTGATACATTTGAGTATATGTGTATTAAAACAGAAGTCCAGACGCTGGAGGGAGATCTGCAGCTGTCCGGATCTGAAATCCCAGGATACAGTCATATGCCCCATATTCCCATAAACACAGTATAAAAACACAGAAGCTCCCCTAAATCACCAATGCATCGTCATTACGGCTATAACAGGAAAGAGAAGGCCACCTCAGGTCTTACAGTCCGAGGCAAGAAGGGTCCACATGGTAGCCTCCGGCTGTGTGCTTCATACACACTGCCCAGTTTCAGAGCCAAAAGGGGTGAGAGGAAAATAAATAATTCAAAATCAAACTCGGCGAGAAACTACAGTTCGCGCAAACGAGCTGGACGCGGTGTGTCTGCTGTGTTCCAAGCACAGTCAACCCGCTCTCTGCTGTTGTTCACTTCGGCTCATGCTGACATTTCAACCACTGAACTACTTTCTGCGGTCTCGATGCAAAACCACAAAACCATTGATGTATGTTAACCTCAACCAGATATTATCGCCGGGGAGCTTTTCGGATATCTCTCTTGTTTTATCCGCAAAGATGGGTGCATTCCCTGTCCTCCCACACTGAGGTCCGTCCCGTCTTCCTCTCAAACAGCATTGCGCCTGCTCCTTCCTTTGGACGTTTCCTACTGGAAAAACGTCGGAGCTTAGGAGCCGTCGTCCAGGTCGTAGCTGCGCTAGTTCTGCGCAGTCTGTTGTTATTAAAAAACGCATACAGGTCGCCACACACTGGATGGGGGCGCTAAAAGGCGCAGTTATCTTACTTTGATGTTTACTATGATGTTACTCTGATTAGTGGGCCCTAAACGATTGGAAATAATTTGCTGGCACAGGTCTGTTGACACACTCTCAGATATGACCTCTTATGATAACATGGGCGTGAGCTAACCCATGTATCCAATAAAGGTTAAACATGCAGGTTTTACTGGTGAACTGAAAGGGTAAGACCTGGGAAAGATGCAACCATGTGCAATGTGCATTTCATTTTACACATTTAGCATATAGGTTACATATTTACATATTCACACGCCAATGCGTTATTAAGAGAAATGAATGAATAAACAATACTAAATATATGATTTAGTAGGCTGTTTTATATTAATGACACTTCATATACTAAATCAACTATTCTACTTAAAATTGTGTTTTCAAAATTTAGTTAGTAATTATTTAATATCCGATGACAGACAAAGCAGAATCCCGTTAAAAGAGATTCATCTGAATGGTAAATTTATTCTATGACTTATATACAGGCAGATGAATATATAGACCTATGTATTTAATTGGCCATATTTTAATTTAGGATATGTCATAACAGCAACACTATGAATTCTAACTGAAATGATTTCACTCAATTTATAGTATAGATTTTAATGACTAGTGGAGTGTCTAAAAGGTAGGCTACATCTAGCTGATGGATTTATTGAATATTAACCCCATTAATTATAGCAATTATTCAATTAAAAAAGAATAACAGTTAGTAAACTCTGAGCCTTTTGTCTCAATTCTAGGGTGGACATTTTACCTCAAGGGTTTAATTTTATTCTTTCAATATAAAAAAACATATATTTTACCCCACAAATCTGAGACATTTATGTCTCTTATTAACAAATAGGCACAAAAACCTTTCATATTCAGCATAATACAATAGCATATATTACTGTGACACAAAATTAGATCAGTTAACCTCAATACTGTTTTGACTGACTAAATCTTACAAATGTTGATATTCTGGTGAAATTACAAAATTACGAACAGCCAAGCCATTCATAAAATATGTTAGTAAGGAGTCATCTTATGGGCATTTTACCCCATCTTACCCTAGACTTAAAAACAGAAGAAGAAAAAATGGGATTGAATGTTTCTAGAGATACGTTAAAACCTTTAATATTTTTGTAATAAATACTTTGAACAAATGCCATCATACTGAATTCACTAAAGAAGAAAAAAATGTCTTGTACAGTTGAATTCTGTTAGCATCCATTTTACTCAATGGTCTCTTCTATCCTGATTCCATCCACCAGCAGGGAATGAACTATTCCGTTTCGTTTCCTGCCACTATGTGTTGCTTTAATGCAGCATTCATGGTTCTCCACTGCAAAGTGTGTCTCGCTTCCATTCTCTGTAAACTCCCCCTGCACAAAGAAATCAATATAAACATAGGCCTATAACTAGAGAATCACATCTATAACTAAACAAGCACCAGTCGTGGGAATGATGTGATATGAAGAAAATGGTGTTATGTTTTTGCACAGTGTCCACACAACTACACCATTAGCCGACTTGACTCAGACTTAAATAAACAATGGCCAAAGTGGATCTTTCATACACCTAAAGGCCTGTGTTTGTCTGAACTGTAGTATTAAAAGTACTCACCATAGTCTCCATTTTCTGTCCATTGCACCACACATCCATAGTGTCTTTCTCTAGTGAAACAGAAAAAATAATAAAAAATAACAGAAACTAGTTCGCCAATAGTTGTGTTAATTATCTTAATTGTATTTTTTTTTTTTTTTTCTGCTGACCCCAGACTCTAATTTGAAATCCCCTAAACTAGTCATTCTCTTCTTACAGTGTGGTTGGACAGAGATTAACCCAAGAAGATTAAGGCCTTTCAGAAAAACTGAAACAACGTTTTTTTTAATGTCATAAATCAAGAGAGATGTTTTTCACAGTGTCACTTACCTAGAACTATCCTGTAATCAGCACCACCCAGTTTCAGCACCCATATTTTGGAAATTTTTGATCGGTTGTCCAAAAATGTTTGGAGACTTTTTCCATTGATTTCCAGTGTGTATTCATAGGAAAACCCAGTTATTGCCTCAATACTTATGGTTGCTTTTGTATCTGTGCTCCCAACAGGAAACATTTCTTTGCCCACCAGTTTGAACATCCAATCCCTCCTCAACACCTCCTTAAAAAGACAAAATTATTATTTTATATTATTTTATTCATCTTTATATAGTGTTAGGTATTATCTTATATTTTTTCCTGACATGTTGGTGTTATATCTTTCACTAATCTGTTGCATTTGAGTAAATACAGCTGGATAAAACAAAAACGGTGTCTGTCCTTCAGTTGGTGGCTGACTAAATACTTTTTTTCCCCACTGTATATATATATATAACGAATACATTATAAGCATTACCATTATAAAATAATATAAGACCATATCTAATATAACATAATGATAAATTAATCAGTTTATAACCTCTCACCTTCCCATTAATGTAAATGACCCGTTTCCCTGTTGTTGATCCATGTTCAAACTCAATTCGGTAAACCCCATCGCTTAGCGACACGTCCCACGTTCCCACAATGTCTCTGGACATACTGTGCTAAGAGCCACACTACCCAAACGCTCTATACTAATTTTAATTCTATGTAATGTTCCGCTTGATCACAGTAGCAGTCCTCATCATGCGCAACTGCTGATTAAATCTCTGTATATTATTGAGGAGGCTGCCATCATTTGCTCGCTCCGCAACGAGTGCATTAGTGTAAGAGGCTTAACTTATCAAGGCAGCAGAGAGTGTCTGAGGAGGTTTGTGTGCGAAGACAGTCAACTATTTTCACTGCAATTAAATTTAAATAGACGTCAGGTGTAGGAGTAAAAATCATAAAAACTATTTCAGTCGTTAAGCCTGGATGTTTTTGATCCTCTCTGGTCACTACCAATAGATGGCAGTCCTCTCTCTCTCTCTCTCCCTCTCTCCCTCTCTCTCTCCCTTATAAAAATATTCTAATTTCTATATCTATTTTCTAGATCTTGAAAGATGGCATAATAATACAAATAATATTAATATCATTAATAATAATAAATTAATAAATAAAAATACATTTATTACATTAAAACCAGAATTAGAAGAAGAATTACACGTAAAAATACATAATAGTAGCCTACGTGTGATCAATAAACGTTGATATTTAATATCTTAAACTTACATACAAATTCCTTCACAATCACAGCCCTAATAATACAATGTTTTGCAAAATGATGTTATGCAAAGCTTATGTAAGAACATATTAGCAAGGCACGCTATTAACATATCAAAAGCGAGTGGGCGTGGTCAATCTGTCTGAGCCCCGCTTGTTCAGAACTTTCTTCCAGATGTTAGTGTGTGGAGCTCAGAGAGCACTGAGAAGCGTTGGAGACTGTGATCGTGAGCTGAGAGTCTTTTCACACCGTTGTTTAAAGGATACAACAAACTGACTGAGTGTTTTGGAGTTTTCCCTGTCTTTCTTGGAAAGTACTCGACGTAACTGAATATTATAATGAGTGAATGCATAAGGAATAACGCATTTCCCTCAATCATTTGACAAACCCATTCGCTTTGGAATATGATAGTAGGTACATCATTTTTACACGAAGACGAGTTGGTATTACTTTTAGTGGTTTCTTTATATCCGTTTTACATAGTTGTATTAAGTATTGTTCTGTCTTTGTTGACTTTTAGTAATGTAACACGTTTTAACCATTAGTTTGTCACTGTTGCTAGTTTGTGACTCACTGGTGTTGGATCGAATTACGCTAGCCTAAAACCATTTCCACTCGCCTACCCAGTGCCATAATTCTGGAGTGGTTTGTATTTACGTCATATTAGCAGTATGAAAAATCTTCAGGTATATGTCATTTTGTTGACTCTGACGTGGATTCATGCATCAGACTTGAAGTCTCCCATGGTCCTGCATTACACAGGAGCAGAAGAAGGAAATGCACGATTACAACCAAACACTTTTGTCAAAAAGTACACAAATGAAATGCAATCATGCAGAAGATCTGTAAGGTTATCCACCTCCAAGAACACACATATACTCGGGAAGCCTCAGAATGATCAGAATGTGGAGTCCTCACGACCCCCAGCCAGGAGGGTCCTGAAAGGACAAAGACTGACTCCACACAGGAAACCCAGTGTAACTGACAGCAGTCCCGCTCAAGAACCTAATTTTCAATCTACTCCAATGGACGCCACTAGCTCCATTAACATCCTGGCTGGTTTTGTAGGTAAAAACCGTGTACTGGTCATTTCGGCTCTCGACGACTCTGATGGCTATTACAGGTTAATGATGAACTTGCTCAAGCCTGATGTGTTCTGCGAGACGGGGGACAGACACATGCAGCAGATTATAATGTTCCATGAAAAGGGGAAGATGGGAGGCAAGGTGAGACGAGTTAGCAATCAGGGATCTCTGGTGGAGGAGCTGCTGTCCCCAGTCTAGGGACAGCATCACTGATCTATATATAGTATCTATTATAGACAGGCCCAGATTGACTAATCGGGAGCACCAGGAGGATTCCCGGTGGGCCGGTCTGTTTTTTTGTCGTGCCACTGGGGTTGAAATATGGATGCTGTCCACTGATCTACTGTCCACTTTTTGATTCAGTTTGGGTGAATGCAAACAACTTATTGATCATGAGCCCAACATTCAAATAATGACTTCATTGTAATGCAGTTAAATAGAGAGAGAGAAAAAAATACATAAAAAAATATATTAACTTCTAGCGTATTCTTGGACCTCATTATTGAAGTAGGCTACAAATCCAAGCACCAGAAGCAGCCCACACTCTCTTAAATTTTCTTTAAAGGGGTCATATGATGCGATTAAAATTTTTCCTTTCTCTTTGGAGTGTTACAAGCTCTTGGTGCATAAAGAAAATCTGTTAAGTTGCAAAGACTAAAGTCTCAAATCCAAAGAGATATTCTTTATAAAAGTTAAGAGTCAATCACGGCAACCTAAAACGGCTCGTTCTAACACGCCCCCACATGTCTACATCACGATGTGGGAAGATTTGCATAACGCCACCCAAATGTTCACGCAAAGAAAGAAGGCGTGATTTTTATTCTCGCTGTAGTATTGTTTTTGCCGCCACCACCATGTTGTGGAGATGCTGTGTGTTTCATTGTGAAAGCGAACCTACATTGTTTGGCCTTCCAAAAGAGGACGATATCAGCTTCGTCATGCCTAGAGCTGATCCGTGCTGGTCGCAGAGGAAATACATCAACTTCGCGCAGTGGTTAAGTTGTATTTACAACACTGTTCCAGAAGAGTTCAGTCCAAATATTCAGATGTGTGCAGCGCATTTTATGGAGGACTGTTTCCTGATCCTGGTAGAGTAGACTACAATGCCGGCCGTTCTGACTCACAGACTGTAAGTAAGTTTTTTATATTTAAAGAATTTGCCACTGATGATTCAAGCACAAGTTTTGAGCAGTGCAGAGTAGCGTTTGTAGTTTGTAATTTCTCAGATCACAAATGCAGACATGGTTTTATGTTTACGCGGCACGATGCAATGCAACGCGTAAAAAGACAGTACAGAATGCTGCACCAAACAAATTCGTAAGGGGAAAAATGTAAACAATAAACCAACTCCATAGCGGATTCAAGTGATCAAGATCTTAGGACATTCCAATTCAGCCCATTCCAAGGGTTCTGCCAGTAGTGGGTACTCATGCAACGTAATCAATGACATACACCAATAAATAACACGGATATTAAAGCAGAAGTACAAAAAATCTCGAGACATGTCATCTTGTTTCATCATGTATATTATCTCTCAGTTCTCGGCGTCTAAATGAAAAGCGTTCTGAAAGCGTGTTCTCTTTGTGGCCCTGAAATTACCATAATAATAATCTAATCAGATTGGGTATCCATTGTATGATTCCGTGTGTTATGGTTTAATAAAAGACTAACATGGAGAATTCATATAAAAATAAAAAATTGTAACAAGTTTTATATGTCATGGACAAGATTGAGAGCTAATGCAGTAGCACTTTTGAATTAGGTTCTCATCATACGAATGTGGGCCATTTCTGGCAGTGATGACTTTTGTCAAATTAATTATCTTTCCATTGCAATAATGTTTTTTTTATTAAAGGCACTTGTTACAGAAAGAGAGAGAGAAACAGATCAGCTGAAGGTAAATGTTTATAATATTTGAATGACTGCCATAAAATGCATTTTATTAGTTATGTGTTTCTGTAGTTTGGTGATTTACTCAAAAGTTGAGGCATTACTGTACTATAAATGATGCTGTTGTGGTAGAAACATCATTGTATACTGTGAATACAATGAACAAAAATCTCTGGAAGATTCTAAAACTTTTGTGCAAGAATTTTTAATTGGGTATTGAGACATTTTAGACATCAGTACTCATCATAGAAACCTCAACAATAGTGACAATCTACAAAATATTCAGATAAACAGATTAACTCTAAACACAGCTACAGAAAGTTAAAAAAAACAACTGCAAAAATGAAATAAAACAGTAATGAAAGAAAATAATAGGACAGTTCATATTAATATTTTTTTATGCTGCAATGCATGCTGGGAGCCATGGATGAGTTATGTACTATGCTAGCAATGAGAATTCAGTGCGGTATAAAGCTTTTTGTTGATTGCCACTGAGTTTCATATCATGTCTGAACTATAGTAGTTTAATACTTTTTGTGCACAACATGTTTTTAAAATCCTTCATAATAACTGATTGTCCACTGCTGGATCTCATGCTGTATTATCACAGGGTTAAATGTATTAATAGCACAACACACCTTAACAAAAAAACAAACACACACTCCTTTATGATCAGTGTTTAGAGTTTGGATGAGATCAGTGAATCAAGCCACCATTATATTACAATCAATAGTTAGCCAACATCACCTGATCACACTAAATGTGGTTTAAAACACACTGTTACAGAAGCCATTAAACACAAAAATAAAAAGTAAAGAGTCGAACCCAACCAAAGGAAACACTAATCACCATAATGGTTGAACAAAACTATTATTTTCAATAAAACATCAACATTAACTAGAGCTAAACCGTGGTTATTTCTTAATTCGAACTTTTGTAGATGTATAAAATAAATAAATGTTAACTGGTTTGTTGGTGAAGATGTTAATACTGTTGTCTGGAGTTTAATCATCCTCCTGCATTTCTCTTTACTGTATGTTGAATATTGTTGATGCAGAATTACTGCATTGATATTCGTGACACAAACTGTAGCACACGTTATGGGGCCAGGTTTGTTTATCTGGTCTGTTCCTGGCTGCATAGGCACTGATTTATGTTTCTGCCAGTGGGTGCCCACCCTTTACCTCCATGTACATTAATGTTTAATCTAGCTTTACAGAAAGTCTTATCTCCCATCTGCTATAAGATTCAATCAACATCGAATATGAATGGTTGGATATTGACTTTGTGGGGTCAATGTATCAGTGGAACATTCCACTTCATTGCAGGAAGTATACACTCTTTAGAAAAAAAAAAGGTACAAAAGATGTCACTGGGGTGGTATCTTTGAAAAAGGTACACCTTTGTACCTTATTTAACCCTAATGAGTGCACATCAGTACCTTAAAAGCACATATTAGTACTTGTACTGTACATAGCCTGCCTCAACAGAGAAGTATTACCATTAGCTATATTCCAAAGTAGGAAAGAAATGACAGTCATTTACGCCTCACAAGCAATAACAGTCAGTTTTATAATGGTTACTTTTCCGGAAGTAGACATCTTCAATGA